CAAAAACAGACACAGAAGTGGCAGCTGGAGGTCCTAAGAGGGTAAGATACAAATTATTTGCAGAAGCAGGAAAGGCTTAACATGCTCCATTTAGCCTATCCTCCAGCTATTCCAGTTCAGCAGATATAACTCCAATTAATTCTGTCGTCCCACTTTTCTCTGATTTTAAAATGTCCCAGTTTCTTCACCCTCCTCTTCCTGCTTTTCCTCCTTTGCTCTCAGCTGACTTCAATTGCTACAAACTGAAAAAATAGGGGGAAAGTCCTTTGAACTCAATGAACTTGGCATGAGCAAGGGAATTGCAGAAGGCATTGCCTTGCTCTTCCCAGTAGGCTCAGGCAAGAGTGTTGCAATCCAGGCCTGGGAACACCTATGACCACAGCACCACACGAGAGTCCAGAATATAAGCAAACAGTTTATTGTAGAAACACATTAAGAATATAGGCAAAACAATCATGAATAAATAAAGTAGATGTATAATCCAAAAAGGTTTAACAATCCAAATAGTAATCCAAATGTCTCAAGCAGATCCCAAGGTAACACAGTCCAGGAATAGCCAAATAGTCACAAGCACCAGGATTGTGGTGCAGCTGGCTGATTGTCAGCTGCATTAAGATCACTCTGACCAGAAGGTCATGAGTTCAAAGCCAGCCTGGGTTGGAGTGAGTGTCCAGCCAATTGGACAATTGAGTGTCCAGCCAATTGGAAAGTGAGTGTCCAGCCAATTGGAAAGCTTGTTGTCGACCTTTGCAACCCAAAAGACAGTTGCTTCTGTCAAGTAGGAAAATTAGGTACCACCTATGTGTGGGGAGGCTAATTAACTAACTTATGAGGCCATAAAAAGACTCCAGCAAAAAGCACTCCAGCAAAGCATGCGGGGAATGCGGAAGTACTTCATCAGTGTCACAGATGGCCAATGAAAGCGACAGCTCCCCTGGCAGCCAGAAAAAGTTAAATAGCCTCTGTGTATGTCTATATACGTTGTATGTCTAATTGGCATTGAATGTTTGCCATATATGTGTACATTGTAATCTGCCCTCAGTCCCCTGCGGGGTGAGAAGGGCGGAATATAAATGCTGTAAATAAAATAAATAAATAAGTACAGCATAAGTCCACAATCAAAAGGTATAGTAAAACTTAAGCAGGAATATAAAGACAAGAACATAGAAAACTTCCAGGAAACTTAAATCCAAAACCCAAGCTTCACTTGAAACAAGAACCAGAGAACTCAGGCCTAGTTTCACATTTGAACGATATGTTGTCTGAACGAATGCTTAGGTAAACAGCTTGCTAATTAATAGGCACCCATGAAGTCATTTCCCCCCCGCAAAATTTCTCCTCAACTTTCCCACGTAAATGCTCGGACTTACAATGTCTATTATCTGCTCTGATCTGTAAATGAAGACCTTTGTTGATCTCTGTAACTCCAGGTGTTTTCTCCTAAGAGCCTTTTGTATTACTTTTTTTTTACCAGACTCCTTATCTAATGTTGCCGTTTCTGGCTCCTCTGACTGACGTTGAAGCTCTGCATTTTCCGAGATTTCTCACAGAGGGAAGCATCATTCCCCTGACTTGAATTGAATCTTCATCACTTTGAGAACCAGGAAATCCCACAGGCGATCCCACAATGTTCTCTAAATCATCAGTGAACTCATCAGCCTCAGGAGTCTCAGACTGATTTCCAACAAAAAACAAGCGGCTGCAGGCTCTCCTCATTTGTGTGGCCTTCCTTTTTTGTGACTTTACCATGCTCTGATGTTGTCAGCCACACATGTCCTGTCATTTGTGAAATGTTGGCAAGTACAAAATAGGGCTATCTTTGTATCAATTAAGATGGAAATCGGCACGCAAGGAGTAAGAAGGTCACTGAGATTTTTGTGGGGGAATTTTTGGGTGCCTTCAAGTCATTTTCAACCTATGGTGAAAATAAACAAATAAACAAACTAGTCCAATGTGGGCTAGGCAAAACTACAAATGGTTAAACGGACGAACCCAGAGGGTGTTCACCAGTGCTTTCTCTTCATCCTGGAAAGAAGTGATGAGTGGAGTGCCAAAAGCAGGGTTCTGTCCTGGGCCCGGTCCTGTTTAGGATCTTCATTAATGACTTAGATGAAGGGTTAAAAGGCATGACCATCAAGTTTGTAGACAACACTAAATTGGGAGGGACAGCCAATACTCCAGAAGACAGGATCAGAATTCAAAACGATCTTAACAGATTAGAGAGATGGGCCAAAACTAACAAAATGACGTTCAACAGTGACAAATGCAAGATACTCCACTTAGGCAGGAAAAATGAAATACAAAGATACAGAATGGGGGACACGTGGCTTGAGAGCAGTACGGGTGAAAAAGATCTTGGAGTCCTCGTGGACAACAAGTTAAACATGAGCCAACAATGTCATGTGGCGGCAAGAAAACCCAATGGGATTTTGGCCTGCATCAATAGGAGCATAGTGTCTAAATCCAGGGAAGTCATGCTACCCCTCTACCCTTGCTACCCTTGCTTAGACCACACCTGGAATATTGTGTCCAATTCTGGGCACCACAATTGAAGAGAGAAGAAGTCATAGGGAGGAGGTAGAAAGCTTGTTTTCTGCTGCCCTGGAGACTAGGACGTGGAACAATGGCTTCACACTACAAGAAAGGAGATTCCATCTGAACATGAGGAAGAACTTCCTGACTGTGAGAGCCGTTCAGCAGTGGAACTCTCTGCCCCGGAGTGTGGTGGAGGCTCCTTCTTTGGAAGCTTTTAAACAGAGGCTGGATGGCCATCTGTCCGGGGTGATTTGAATGCAATATTCCTGCTTCTTGGCAGGGGGTTGGACTGGATGGCCCATGAGGTCTCTTCCAACTCTATGATTCTATGATATTATAATTATATATTTATATTACATGTAATATTACTAATAATATTACAACATAATGGTATAATACAATGTAGTAATAGTTAATACTGATATTGTACTACGCTAATCTATATAAATAAAAATGTAATGTTTGTTTGTGGGATTAACAGAACTCCAAAACCACTGGACGAATTGACACCAAATTTGGACACAAGACACCTAACAACCCAATGTATGTCTTTCGCTCATAAAAACACTGAAAACCACAGCAGAAGGGACTTTAAAAGCCCCAAAAAGCTAAATGACAAAAAGCTAAATGACAATACAGAAAACAAGGGAAGAAAGAGGGGGGGAAGGGGAGAAAAAAAAAGAAAGAAAGAAAAGAAAGAGGGAAAGGGAGAAGGAAAGGGAGAAGGAAGCATGGAAGCAAAGAGAGAAGAAAAGAGGTAGAGAAGGAAGAAAGGAGAGAAAGAGGGAGGGAAAGAAAAAAAGGATAAGGAAAAAAAGCTAGAGAAGGAAAGAAAAAGGGAAAGAAGGAAGGAAAGGGAGCGAAGGAAGAGGGGAAGATGTAGAGCAGTGTTTCTCAACCTGGGGGTCGGGACCCCTGGAGGGTTCGCGAGGGGGTGTCAGAGGGGTCACCGAAAACCATCAGAAAACGCAGTATTTTATTTATTTTATTTACTGTATTTGTATACTGCCTTTCTCAGCCTTTCGATCATGGGGTTTCTGTGTGGGAAGTTTGGTTCAATTCAATCGTTAGTGGGGTTCAGAATGCTCTTTGATTGTAGGTGAAATATACATCCCAGTAACTACAACTCCCAAATGTCAAGGTCTATTTTCCTCAAATTCCGCCAGTGTTCACATTTGGGCATATTGAGTATTTGTGTCGAGCAGAGAGCTCTTTGCCCCACCCCAGTCATTCCACAGATATATAAACCCATTTTCCTATTTCCAACAGACCTCACTACCTCTGAGGATGCTTGCCATAGATGCAGGCGAAACGTCAGGAGAAATGCCTCTAGAACATGGCCCTATAGCCCGAAAAAACCTACAAGAACCTAGTGATTCCAGCCATGAAAGCCTTCAACAATACATATTCGTGTCGAGTTTGGTCCTGATCCCTCATTGTTTGAGTCCACGATGCTCCCTGGATGTAGGTGAACTACAACTCCAAAATTCAAGGTCAATGCCCACCAAATCCTTACAGTTTTTTTTCTGTTGGTCATTGAAGTTCTGAATGCTAAGTAGGTTCAATGCCATTGTTGGTGGAGTTCAGAATGTTCTTTGATTGTAGGTTAACTATAAATCCCAGCAATTACAACTCCCAAATGACAAAATCAATACCCCCCCCCAACCCCACCTGTATTCAAACTGGAGTGTATTGGGTATTTGTGTCAAATTTGGTTCAGTCAATGAAAATACACCAGATATTTACATTACAATTGATAACAGTAGCAAAGCATACAGTTATGAAGTAGCAACGAAAATAATTTTACGGGTTTTTTTGGGAGGGGTCACCACAACATAAGGAATTGTATTAAGGGGTCATGGCATTAGGAAGGTTGAGAAACACTGATGTAGAGAAAGAGGGAGGGAAGGAAAGAAGGAAAGATAAGGAAGAAAAGAGAGACAGAAGAAGAGAAAGAAAAGAGGGAAAGGAAGGAAAGAGATAGAGAAGGAAGGAAGAAGAGAAGGAAAAACAGAAAGGAAAGAGGGAGTAAAGGAAGGAGGGAAAGAAGGAAAGAAAGAGGGAAGGTTGGCCACAGCAACACAATAATATATTGTATGTATATATATCTTGTAAGCCACTCTGAGTCCCTTTCGGGGTGAGAAGGGCGGCATATAAAAGGCATAAATAAATAATAGATAGATAGACCAACTTGGGCCTCTCCACGTGTTTTGGACTGCAACTCCCACCATTCCTAACAGCCTCAGACCCTTTGCTTTTCCCCTTCCACCTTTTAAGTAGCTGAAGGGCGAAAGGAAAGGGCCTGGGGCTGCTAGGAGTGGTGGGAGTTGTAGTCCAAATCACCTGGAGGGCCCAAGTTGGCCCATGCCTGGTGGAGACACCCCTCTTGTTTGCAGATTCCCAGCCGCAAAGGGTGAGGCCTCTGCCGGGAGGGTCGGTAGGGGGCGTGCAACGGATGCCTTGCCTCCAGGAGCTGGAAAGTTTGGTTTGGGTTTGCTTTCCTAAAGTTTATCCCCAATTGCTGGTGGGTGGGACCTTGTGCGAAACGACCTGCGGAGGAGAGAAAGAGAGCAGAGCTTTGGGGAGAAGAGAGGTTGCCGCTTTCCTCTCTCTTTCTCTCTCTTCTCTCTCTTCCTTCTTTCCTTCCATCCCTTCTTCCTTCCTTCTCACTCCTCGCCTTGCTTCACCCAACACCACGAAGGCGATTTCACCTTTGCCAGAGGCGCATCCTTCCTTTGAAGGTAAGACGGGGATTGTAAAGAGGGAAAGTTTGGGACTACAGCGCCCAGAATTCCCCCAGCCAAAAAAGGGAACGTGAAGACACAGGGAGATCCTCCTAGGATGCATTTCAGGTGCTCACTCAATCTTTATTAGGCAGAACTCAGATGGCAGCAAGCAGAATACTTCCTTAAGGGGATTCTGGGAGTTGTGGTCCCCCAAAAGGAAACATTCCCACAGATCTGTAGGTGAAGACCCCATTGCAGAAGAAACTCAGGTTCACTCTGATGCCCATCTACTCAAATGCCAGGTCAGGTGGATGGATGGTGTCTAGATCCAGGGAAATCATGCTACCCCTCTATTCTGCCTTGGTTAGACCACACCTGGAATATTGTGTCCAATTCTGGGCACCACAATTGAAGAGAGATATTGACAAGCTGGAATGTGTCCAGAGGAGGGATTACAATGATCAAGGGTCTGGAGAACAAGCCCTATGAGGAGTGGCTTAAAGAGCTGGGCATGTTTAGCCTGAAGAAGAGAAGGCTGAGAGGAGACATGATAGCCATGTATAAATATGTGAGAGGAAGTCACAGGGAGGAGGGAGCAAGCTTGTTTTCTGCTTCCCTGGAGACTAGGACACAGAAAATGGCTTCAAACTAGAAAGGAGATTCCATCTGAACATGAGGAAGAACTTCCTGACTGTGAGAGCTGTTCAGCAGTGGAACTCTCTGCCCCGGAGTGTGGTGGAGGCTCCTTCTTTGGAAGCTTTTAAACAGAGGCTGGATGGCCATCTGTCGGGGGTGCTTTGAATGCAATTTTCCTGCTTCTTGGCAGAATGGGGTTGGACTGGATGGCCCATGAGGTCTCTTCCAACTCTATGATTCCACAAATATGGCACTATGATTCCACTTTTCACTACCATAGTTCAGTCGTGTGGGATCCTGGTATTTACAGTGTAGCTCTCTCTACACTGATAATCCTCAGTCAGAGACCTAGTGCCTCACCAAACAACAAACACCAGATTCTATAGAATAATAGTGTTGGAAGCAGCCTCCAAAGCCATCTAGTCCAACCTCATTCTGCAATCCAGCCTCTGTTGAAGAACCTCCAGAGAAGGAAACTCAATCATGCTCCAAGACAGCATCATATTCCACTTTCAAACAGCTCTTGCCATCAGGAATATTTTCCTAATGTTTAGGAGGAATCTGTTTTCAAGCAGCTCGAATCCGCCACTCCAAGTCCTAGTCTCCAGAAAAGCAGAAAATGAGCTTGCTCCCTCCTCAACGTGACATCCTTTCAATCAGTTGTCATGTCCTCTCTTGACATTCTCTTCTCCAAGCCAAACATGCCCAACTCCCTAAGATGCTCCTCATGGGGCTTGGCTTCCAGACCTTGGACCTGTTTGGTCACTCTCCTCTAGCTATTTTCCAGCTTATCAATACAGTCAGTCCCCAAGTTCCAAACAAGATCGGTTCTGTAATATAATAATTTTTTCGTGCTGTTTTGGGAAACTGCAAGTCACTTCTGGTGTGAGAGAATTGGCTGTCTTTAAGGACGTTGCCCAGGGGATGCCCGGATGTTTCGATGTTTGACCATCCTTGTGGGAGGCTTCTCTCATGTCTCTGCATGGGGAGCTGAAGCTGACAGAGGGAGCTCATCCACACTCTACCTGGATTCGAACCTTTAACCTGTCAGTCTTCAGTTCTGCTAGCACAAGGGTTTAACCCATTGTGCCACTGGGGTCTCCGAAAATAATAATAATAATAATAATAATAATAATAATAATAATAATAATAATGTTGTTGTTTTGTAGGTTTTCAGTCTGTATGGCGATGTTCTAGAAGCAGTCTCTCCTGACATTTCACCTGCCTCACAACCTCTGAGGATGCCTGCCATAGATGCAGGTGAAACATCATGAGAGAATGCTTCTAGAACATGGCCATACAGCCCAAAAAATCTACAACAACCCAGTGATTCCGGCCATGAAAGCCTTCGACAATACATAAAAATAATACTTTATTTTGAACCCTCCGTATCTCCCCAGGAGGACTCAGAGTGACTCTGTAGGTTTGTTCTTAAGTTGGATTTATATGTATGTTGGAACATGTACATTTTAAGGGTAACTACACACACACACACACATACTTATTTACTTACTTACTTTACTGAGGCAATCCTTCATTGTCTGAGTAAGATTGTCCTCCAAGGTCGGTGTTTTGGCGGTGGGTCCGTAGGTGACTGTGGAGCCCTATTCTTGACCTGCATGTTCTCCCGCAGTGAGGGCATCGGTTTCCAGTTGGAAGGCAGTCCTGGTCGGGGTTGGCTTGATGTGCCTTCCTCTTGACACGTTTCTCTCTTTCGCCCTCCATTCGTGCCTCTTCAAATTCTACAGCACTGCTGGTCACAGCTGACTTCCAGCTAGAGCACTCAAGGGCCAGGGCTTCCCGGTTTTCGGTGTCTATGTCAGTTTTTGAGGTTGGCTTTGAGCCCATCTTTAAATCTCTGTTCTTGTCTTCCAACATTTCATTTTCCATTCTTGAGTTTGGAGTAGAGCAACTGCTTTGGGAGACGGTAGTCAGGCATTCAGACAACATGGCCAGTCCAGCAGAGTTGATGGCAGAGGATATTACACACACACACACACACACATTTTGGATTGCATAGGGAAGAGTTAGCATCCCTGTGGTGTTGTTTATTTTGCTGTCTCTGCCCCTGTTCAGAAGATTTCCCCTCACTTTCTGTCCCTGTGATAATTGGATTTTGGAAAAAAAATGACTTGTGGAGTTACGAATAGGTGAGAAAGCTTCAGTGGAGACACCTTTTAACTTTAGGAATTAATTTCCCTTCCTAGGAGCAGATTTTGCTCACTTTTTGTTGACTCACCCTCATTCTTAACTAGGAGTCGTTTGTAAGTGGGATTTTTGTAACTCAGGAACTGCCTGTATAAAGTGGAACCATAATGCTGAAATTCTGTAGTGTGTAAGTGTAGTGTGGACACAGACCAGCCACCCTGGATCTTCTTCTCAGAGAAGATTCAGTGGACAAGAAGGCTTTGCTATATGCTAATCAAGGTGGCCAATTGCAACATTCACTCACACCTATCTTCAACAGACAAGAGTTCTTTCTCCCACCCTGGACATTCCACAGATATATAAACCTCACTTGCCTAGTTTCCAACAGACCCCTCAACGTCTGAGAATGCCTGCCATAGATGTGGGGGAAACGTCAGGAGAGAATGCTTCTGGAACTTGGCCATACAGCCTGGAAAACTCACAGCAACCCACTTTGCTAAATAGCTGTGCACCAAGGGTCCCACTCCAATCCTTGGCATCCTAGTGCTAATCAATCAAATACATTTCTGTTAACCCACCCATTAAAAAAAAAAAAGAATTCGTTGTTGCATCCAAACTGTGGAACCTTTTTCTCTGTCAAGATCTTCTTTCCCTTCTGGGCTCCTCAGATTTAAAAATGAGATGCTGAATATTGTTTACACCCAAACCACTTCTATCTGCTTTGTTTGCTTTTCCTTGGTAATATTCTCTTCCCCTTTCTTTGGATGACTCAACTGTATTTCTCAATGCTCAAATGAATGTTATGTTAATCGTAACACTAGAAATCTGTGCACTGAAGGAAAATTTAATGTGAGGGGGGTTGTTATTTGGAAGTACAATACGCCTTATTGTCTCTCTTTACGCCACACCATCTTCCTGAAATCAAGGCTGCAAGGTTTTCAGTGGAGCACTAGGACCACAAGTTCACATCTTGAACTTATATCAGTCTGAACTAAGCCAAAGTACCAGTTGGTAGAACTTTAAATCCTAAGCTTTGAGAACAGATTTGATAGATGCCTCCTGTGCATAAGACCATACGTATCTGCACTATGACACATCCAGAATGCCTAATGCCACGACCCCTTAATAGAGTTCCTTTCATTATGGTGACCCCCAAACATAAAATTATTTTTGTTGCTACTTCATAATTTTGCTGCTGTTATGAATCGTAATGTAAATATCTGATATGCAGGGTGTGTTTTCAATCACTGGACAAAATTTGCCACAATTACCCGATACGTCCAAATTTGAATACTGGTGGGGTCAGGAAGACATTGATTTTGTCATTTGGGAGTTGTAGTTGCTGGGATTTATAGTTCACCTATAATCAAAGAGCTTTCTGAACTCCAACAACAATGGAACTGAATCAAACTTGACACGCAGAACTCACATAACCTACATAAAGTACTAGAAGGATTTGGTAGTACTTGAGTTTTGGAGTTGTAGTTCACCTACATCCAGAGAGCACTGTAAACTCAATGATAGATCTGGACCAACCTTGACATGAATACTAAATATGCCTAAATGTGAACATTGATGGAGTTTGAGGAAAACAAACCTTGATATTTGGGAGTTGTAGTTGCTGGGATTTATATTTCACCTACAATCAGAGAGCATTCTGAATACCAACAATAAAATTGAGCCAACTATCCCACAACAAACCCCCATGACCAACAGAAAATATAGTATTTTCTGATGATCTTTGGTGACTCCCCTGATGCCCCACTCGCAACCCCCTCCCCCCCGGGGGTCCCAACCCCCAGGTTGAGAAACACTGGATTAAACCCTTGTGCCGGCAGAACTGAAGACTGACAGGTTGAAGGTTTGAACCCGGGGAGAGCGCGGGTGAGCTTCCTCTGTCAGCTCCAGCTCCCCATGTGGGGATATGAGAGAAGCCTCCCACAAGGATGGTCAAACACCAAAACACCCAGGCATCCCTTGGGCAACGTCCTTGCAGACGGCCAATTCTCTCACACCTGAAGCAACTTGCAGTTTCTCAAGTCGCTCCTGACACACACACACACAAAAATAGCAGTTTGATACTATTTCAACCCACATGACTGCATCCTATAGAATCCTGTGATGTATAGTTTGGAATAATCTGCCAGAGAGCTCTTGTGCTATGCTTTAGAGGAGGCCAGGAAGGTTTTCTAGCCAGGAATTCCAAGTGCAAACTAATTTGCAGAATTCCA